GCTCTCTCTCTCTCAGGGCCACGGTGGGGTCACTCCACAAAACTGAATGGCTCCCAATTCTTCAGTCGCTCTGCTGATAAACAGATGGCTTCTTTTAATGGGGTGCACTCAACCTGAAAATCTCCCTGTCGATCTCTCTCTCTCTCTCTCTTCCCATGCACTGGGACAGTCATCAGGTGTTTGTGTGTGGGTATATGAGTAATTGGACAAAACCTAAGACTGAAATGGTACGATATTGGTCTTACAAATCTCAAATGAGACCAAAAAGCATCATGAATTTAGCCTGTTCCTCACACAAATGTGGCCAAATGTGGGCGTGCCTCAAAAGAGGGCTTACAATGACTTACAAAGATACATGTACTAAACATGAGTGGAATTTGCACCGCAGCGCCCCCACACCTTGATGCTCATGACAAGAATAGCATGTATAGTTATCTTTATTGAAGTGAATTAGGTTTAAATCGCCGTCATGCATGAATGAATGAATATTTTTGCAGTTTTACACATAATAATCCACGATGATAACGTTACACAAAACTGAAATTGCACGTCAAAATAACACATTGAAAATTTCACAAATCACGTTTTCAGGGGAGCCCATGTCTTATTAAGGGAAGCCGAGCTCCCCCTAGCGCCCCCGTAGTTCGCATCCTGTTTATAAGTCAAAAAGTCGTAATTACAATGTCAGCTGTGTTTAAGTCACTTTGGTCGGAGCAAGATGGCAATGTAACTTTTCAGCAAATGTATCAATATTTTTCAAATTACTTTTTATTTTTACAAAATGATGAATAATGAATGTACATTAGGTGTTTTTTTTTTGTTGCTTTTTTATGTTTTTATTTAAATTATTAATCTGTTGTAAATTTAATCATATAATCTTGTATTGTATTTTCAATTTTGGAAACTTTTTATTTTTGTCTCATTTGTTAACTACATTAGTTAACAAGAAATAATGAAAATACTGCATTTAAAGCATTTATTAACCTTAGTTAATGTTAATTTCAACATTGTATCTGTTCAATATTAGTTACTGGGCTTGAGCTAACATGAACAATGTTTTTTTATTAAATAACATTAACAAGGATTAATAAATACTTTAGAAAATGTATTGCTCATTGTTAGTTACTGTTAGTTAATGCAGTGTTTCCCAACCGGGGTGTCGTCTGTCGAGAGCAGGGGTGCCATGTAAAAAATCCTTTTTTAATATTTTTAAATTGCTCAAATGTTCAAAAAAGCATCTATTCGTGCTACTGCACCAAAATTACCCCACTGTAAAATAAATAAACACTGAATGAACAAAAATATGTGAGATAGCTAGTTATAATGGTAATTAAATAATGTTTACATATGTATAAAAGCCTACATTAAAATCTGTCATATAAATTGGTCTCTTCATTAGAAATTAGCCTACTGATTGCCACCATATCAAAATATCTGTATAACATTATATTCTGCAGTTCTTCCCTGTTGTACCGAATATCTATACTTTTCAAATTATCATATCGAAGTTAGAAATTCAAATATTGTGACAAAATTAATTTTGTAGGGTGCCACAAGTTTGTTAACATTTCCAAAGGGTGCCGCGACTAAAAAAAGGTTGGGAAACACTGAGTTAATGCATTAACTAATGTTAAATAATGGAACCTTATTGGAAAGTGTATTTTGTACATTCAACTTAGATTTACTGTAAATAAATTCGGTAACACTTTAGTATAGGGACCGATTCTAACTAATAACTAGTTGCATATTAGCATGCCTATTATTAACAGATTGGCTGTTTATTAGTACTTATAGAGCACATATTCTGCATGAGCATATTCTACATCCCTAATCCTACCCAATCCCTAAATTTAACAACTACTTACTAACTATTAATAAGCAGCAAATTAGGAGTTTATTCAGGCAAAAGTCATAGTTAATGGTTTGTTGATAGTGAAAATTGGACCTTAAAATAAAGCGTGGCCATAAATTATTTTTTTTCCCCCCATCAAATTTACAATCATTCGTATCCATTGCATCCGACTTGTTTTCTCACATATATATCATAAACTTTGAACCTCAGCGCTAAAAGAAAGTTTAGAGTTGTTGTAGATTTGTTGTGGCGTTCATGTGCGTTCAACTCGTAAATGTGATCTTTCCGACTTGAATGCACCAAAAGACTATTTTCAAGTATTATTCATTAAAAATATTGTCTGAAGTGTCTTATGGAAAGAAGGCAAGTAAATAGAGTTTCTATTTTAGAGCAAATCAACAAAATGTCACAATTAATATAACTTTGATTATCAATATGTCTCAGCACAGTATCTGTGTGAGAATGGTCTAAGTTTGTGTCTGTCTGAGCGTGTAAGTGGTCCTCTGCAATGTCTTGTGAGGTCCGTTAAAAAGGTAATTGCAGGTTGAAGAGGCTTCTGCCAATTAGAGCAGGCCTCTCAGGGAGCCGCTCTATAGAGGAAGCACACAGGGCCTCTGTGTAATTAGCAGGCTGATGGCAGTGATCTGACCCCTGACCCCATCCCGCTGAGGGAAGGACCCCAGCAGCTGGTACTGGAACTTTGGCATTAACTGACAGAGCCCATTCTGGATGAATAAATACAGACAGACAGAAGGATCTGTCATTTTTTTCCTCCCTTGCAATTGTGTTGCTTTTAAAATATACCAAATCTGAATTCTTGACTAGCAAATTTTAAAAAGCTACTGTTTCAATGCTTTCTTTTAAATATTTTATTTACTTGTTAAACGGTGCCAATTTTTTATTTAATGTTTTTAATGTTGCTCTTTGAATATAAACTATTTACTTTTTAATTTGTAATCTGTTTTTCCTCCCTTGTAATTTTGTTGCTTTTAAACATACCAAAACTGAATTCTTGAACAGCAAATTTAAAATAAACACACTTTTATAATTAAGTTTGTTTACTTATGTCTAATATTGTCATTTTTTATGAAATGTTGCTATTTATTTGAATGTTCATTATTTATTATTTAATTAGAAAATAAATAAATAAATAAAAATAAGTAATAAATTTAAAAAAATAAATAAATGTGCGTCATCACGCGCGACGTAGGCAGAAGTACCGACCCATTGTTTACAAAGCGAACATGCAAAAAAAGTCAAATGCCCTTTACAAAAAAGGTAAAACAACAATGTTGGATGATTTTAAAGTTGGAGGAGAAAATGAGATGGAGTTTTTAAACGAAGTACAAAGACGAAGAACTAACCGCGTGTGACCTTTCCAACAGGATTACGTAATGTGTGAAGATGCGCATCGCAGAGCTAGAGCAAGCCGAGCATTTGTGGTTAAAAAGTGGATAAATATAAATTTTATTCAGAAAATGACCAATCGTTTCGCTAGATAAGACCCGTATTCCTTGGCTGGGATCGTGTACAGAGTCCTTTGAAGCTGCACTGAAACTGCATTTTGACGTTCAAATTGTTGGCCACCACTGAAGTCCACCATATAGACAAAAATCCTGAAATGTTTTCCTCAAAAAAACTTAATTTCTTTGTGACAGAAGAAAGAAAGACATGAACATCTTGGATGACATGGGGGTGAGAAAATTATTAAGGAATTTTTATTCTGGAAGTGAACTTATCATTTAAGGGATCAGGGACAAGATACTGTTTCCTGAGAGGCTCCTGGAAGTCCAAGGAAATGTAATGTGTGAGATGAGGAGACTCATCTGAACACAAGGTGGCACTATAACCACATTTTGTCCAAAGCATCTCATTCATGTAAACTTGCTTCCAGCCGAATGGTGTTAGTTTTTTTCCCATTCAATCAAATGCTAACTATATACAGTATATATATATATATATATATATATATAATGATACATTATGATACATAATACAATGATACATACCATTACAAGTTTACTTTAAGACTTACATATTTATTCTATATTTATGCTGATATAATGCTGATTATTTCCTACCTGTGAGAAATGACCCATATATTATTCAATAAAACTTATTTATCCATGGATTTTCTATTTGTAGTTTTCATTCGTGCATTGTTTTTTTTCTCTTCTCATGGCTTATATAATAGCACATGAGTACGTATTCAGATCCTGGAGGTCAGGATTGAGCATCATTACAGACGTACCCGCTGTGCTTCATGTTGGGGGGTTTGTCCATGCGAACCGCCAGTTTGATTTTCAGATCCACGTCTTGGCTGTTCTTAGGCACTACCATCTTGTGCAACTCTGCCGTTTTGGGCCCATTTGTGGTGGGGTGAAGAACCACCTGGACAGAACGAGAGAAAGTAAGAGAGAGAAACTTTATTAAGACCGATACACCTGGACAGGCAGCTGGAGAGATAGGTGTGAAAGGGATGATGGGAGACGAGAGAAAAAGAGGGTTAGACTGATGAACAGGGAGAGACGGCAGGAGAAAATTGATGGAGGAGGTGTAGTCTGTTTGGCGCGAGTCTCTAATGGGGAGTCTCCATCTGTTACTCTAGGAGCGTGAGCCCTAATGACTAGAGATTTCCTCGCCTGTAGCTCACTTTCCCCTCGCACACATACAAACATATGTGCACGCACTGTGTGCAGAACATCTGTTCCCGCAACATCAGCCAATAATTGAGCATGTTGTGCAGATCGAACACAGAGGTAGCTTGATGTAAACCTCAGCGGTGGATGGAAGGACAGACTCTTGTCTCACCCGGCCCAGCTCCTTGTCCTCCAAAGCCAGGACTCCGGTGCTTTCGGTGAAGAGTTTGACTTTGACCGCGGGCAGGGGGTGTGTGGTGGTGAAATCTCCTTGTGTGCCCCACCTGTAGAAGAAGAAAACAAATCAGCCATCACAATAGGAGACTTCATTTTGTATTCACCACTTCTCCAGACCCACGATGAAGTGTCTGCTGAATACTTTGTTTGATCAAATTAGTATGTGGGATGGTAAAGTGTCTATTTGCTTTTGTAAAACTTTGATTTTGTTGTTATATGTATATATATTTTTTTGTTAATTTAATTTTTTTTACACTAATAAGAAAGCTAAAATAAAACAGACCAAACATTTTGTTTGTTTGCATATGATAGATCTTGACATCAAGACATTAAAAAAATTTTACTCAAAAAGCAACACTAAAAAACTAAATTTAACTCCAAAAACCAGAAATAAAAAGACAAGACATTAAACAAAAATTGACTCAAAAAGTAAGACTGAAAACAAAATTTACCTCTGAAAACAAGAAATTACTCCAAACACAAGACTTAAAACAAGACTTGACTTCAAAAACAAGAAATGACTCCAAAGACAAGACTTAAAACATAACTTGACTTAAAAAAACAAGAAATGAATCCAAAAAAAGACTTAAAACAAGACTTGACTTCAAAAACAAGAAATGACTCCAAAGACAAGACTTAAAACATAACTTGACTTAAAAAAACAAGAAATGAATCCAAAAAACAAGACTTAAAACATGACGACTTCAAAAACAAGAAATGACTCCAAACACAAGACTTAAAACATGACTCGACTTCAAAAACAAGAAATGACTCCAAACACAAGACTTCAAACAAGACTTGACTTCAAAAACAAGAAATTACTCCAAACACAAGACTTCAAACAAGACTTGACTTAAAAAAAAAGAAATTACTCCAAACACAAGACTTAAAACAAGACTTGACCTAAAAAAACAAGAAATGACTCCAAAGACCAGATTTAAAACAAGACTTGACTTCAAAAACAAGAAATGACTCCAAAGACAAGACTTAAAACAAGACTTGACCTAAAAAAACAAGAAATGACTCCAAACACCAGACTTAAAACAAGACTTGACTTCAAAAACAAGAAATGACTCCAAAGACAAGACTTCAAACAAGACTTGACTTCAAAAACAAGAAATTACTCCAAACACAAGACTTAAAACAAGACTTGACTTCAAAAACAAGAAATTACTCCAAAGACCAGACTTAAAACAAGACTTGACTTCAAAAACAAGAAATGACCCCAAAGACAAGACTTAAAACAAGACTTGACTTCTGACTCAAAAAAACAAAAAACAAACAAGAATTGACTCCAAAAGCAAAACTAAAAACAAGACTTGAAGAAACAATTTTACTCCAAAAGCAAGACTAAAAAAAACTAATTTTTACACCCCTCCACCCAAAAAAAAAAAGATGTGAAAACACAACTTGAGTCCAAAAGAAAGACTAAAAGCAAATCCTAAATGCAAAACAACACTCGACTCCAAAACTAGACTCAAAAGTCAACTTTGGTTTACAAAACATGACTTCAAAAACAAGACTTAAAAACATAGCTTGACTCTAAAAACATGACTTAACTCCAAAAGAATGACATAAAAACAAATATTGACTCTAAAAGCAAGTCTGTCAGGAAAGCTGGCAGAGCGTGACTGAGAGTCATCTTTATGTATAGCATTCTTGCATATCAGTCTGTCAGTGCACGTCTATGTGTGAGTTTCTGAGATAAGATCACTACAAAAAATACAGACATATTGTATATCTATAGCCGAGTAAACACACAACAGCGTAATCAAACTAACTCTTTCTCTCAAGCGGGCCAACAGTTGCTTGTGGCAAATTGACTGTAGGAGTCGACTCCCACATCTAATTCAGTTCTTCTGCTTTCTAAAGCAATAAAGCCCCCAGACAGTGTTTTGAATGTCATATGGCAAGCCAAGCATGTTTCCTCTGTAACATAAGCACTAAAACGAGGCTTGCAATGCAGACGAACTGTGCAGCATACACTTGGTTGAGTTAACATATGAGATCTGTATATACTTATAAAGAAAGTACATGCTTCAGCAGAACAAATGCTGGAACCAATGACTCTCTTGTATCAAATAAAGCATTAAAATCCTTAATCATGATTCAGCACACACTCGCACATCTTTTCACAGCTAGTCTAGACTGTCTACAACAAACACTGAGTCATACTGCTGAATCACTGTCTGGTTATACAGTTTATGGTGTCTAAGCCTCTGCGTGAATCCAGGCTGGATGATTATTCTAAGGAGGTGTGCAATATCTGAAGATCTGGTTGCATTCCCATTCAACTCAATGGGCTTTAGTCAGTCAATGGAGAAAGATGCTCTCTGCAGCCATAGTTACAGGATCAACCAGCAGGTGGGCTAATGCTAAAAATCTTGATCTCTTAAGGTCGTGACACACCAAACTGACCATTAAAAACTAGAAGTGGCGAAAGCCAACTGTGTTGTGCCTGGGCTAAAAAAGTCGCACTTGAACACACCGCAAAGACTACAGCAAAACAAAATGTTTTGCATCTGCATAAGAGGAATAAAGGGATAGTTCACACAAAAATGAAAATTCTGTATTAATTACTCACCCTCATGCCGTTTCAAACCCCTAAGACCTTCGTTCATCTTCTGAACACAAATTACAATATTTTTGATGAAATCCAAGAGCTTTCTGACCCTGCATAGACAGCAACACAATTACCACGTTCAAGGCCCAGGAAGGTAGTAAAGACACCGTTAAAATAGTCCATGTGGTCGGTGCCGATAGCCTTGTGGGCAGCATGCCAACATACAGCGCCAGTGTGCTATGGGCGTCCCGAGTTCGAATCCCAGCTCGAGGACCTTTCCTGATGAACGGTTGGTCCAACCCAACACTAAATTTCAGCTACAGCTGTTGCCAATGACACCGACAGACAAGATCCTTCAGTCTTCACTCTGACTGACATTGTCTAGAGCCCAAACCCGCCTTGGGGAGCTTCATCAGTGCATGGATATTTTGGGAGGTCTGTTGATGTTACTGGTCTAAAACTGACCTCTCACCACCTAGAGGCTGTCTGAACCCCTGAAACAAGTAGGGAGGATTATTCATTAAGCAAACTGCTGCCAAGGCAACAAAACAACAGATCTTTGCATCTAATAAAATCAGCACAATAATGCAAAACCTTATTCACATAGAAAAGGACTTTCTAAATTTAGTTGCATTTGTTTGCAACATACTCATGTTGACAGAACCAGACACTGACATTATTTGGGAATAATAATCATCCCTAAATGGTCTCAGGAGATTTGCAGGGGAGAGGTTCATCTAAGACTACTTCTGCAAGGAAAAACGTTTAAAAAAAAAAAAGAGATGCAAGTATAAACACCTTAAAGAAAATGGGTTTCATTATGCTTTCATTTGTAGGTAATGTTCACAAAGCCAATAAAAGACTAATATTAAATGTCTAATGCCTTCTCTGTAACCACATTTCTAGGAAATGACATCACTGGCCAGATTAAAATGTAATTCTAATTTAATTCCAGTATAATACAATCACATATGTCTGATATACATTCGATAGTAGGAACTTTCACTTGCAAAACCCATTATATTAAAGAAGTGGTCATATAAAAAAAATTAAATAATAAATAGGCTAAATTATATTATTCCTCCTTTATCATTTTAGTCAATTTTGCAATTTAGTTTTAAATGATTTAAAAAATAATTTTACACAAATTTGAGAAATGTTTCAGTATGTTTTTCATGATAGACCCCTTTAACAAAAATGGTCACATGCATGAAACTTGGGATCCGCGAGATGTGGTTCCTCTGTGCTAATTAACATCATACTGTGAGGTCAAATGTGAGCGTTATCGGATTGAACCACATGACTCCAGCAGGTGACGGCACAATAAACACACTGAAATCATCTCACACGCCACTGATTCACCTTGATGAGATTACAAGTGACATTTCAATTTCCAGTGTCTGCAGGAGAAAAACGGGAATAATAGCGGTCTTAGAAATGGAACATAAGAGGGAAAAAACCCACAACAATTGGCATCCTTAATATAAGTGCACAACACAAAGTTGCCAATATCATGCTAGGTTGTAGTTAAGAAATGTTTTACAGAGGTCATAACAGGAGGAAGCAAATTGTCCCTGAAGATGATGATAGTAATATCATCTATTTGTGTACAATGTAATCATACTGTAACTTTCACAAAAACAATCCAGTACAAAAAGACCATCCATTGGATCTATTTCTTAATGGCACAGTAACAAAAAACCCAGCCGGGTCAAAGAAAGGTTGTGCTAAAATGATCATGAAAAGCAGTCAAATAAAATAAACAAACAAACAGACAGACAGACAGATAGGCCATTACTTCCAGACTTTATGTTCTTTGCATCCGTTAAACATATATTGCTAAATGGCTGGGCAAATGAATGTGATCTGAGTCATCTTTCTATTCAAAACTACACAACACTCTTAAAGGCCACCCGCCTTTCACTGAGAGCGAGAAAGCTCATCTAGGCTTGATGAATTCCTCCTCCTTGTCATATCGCCCCGATACTGGAACACTTGGAGGTAAGATTGATTCAGGAGCTCTCTGAGAAAAGAGATCCTGCATTTACCTGGTCAAAGTAGCAATCAGTTCAAGTCCGCAATCAAAGTGCACTAAAATAGTACGAAAGCTACTGCTAGTAACTGCTATAAATATACAATAACTTCACAACTACTAAACAACAAATATGGAACCTAATCAATGAAAACCAATATGAAATCCTGAAATGTGAGGGAGACGTATTGAGTGTCTTTTAGGGCACAGGCAAAGTCACGCAGTCTGTGACGGACAGATCGTTAACGGCTAGTCTTTGGTAATACAGTACATCGGGCAGGACATCCAAACGCTCGCCTATCATTCATCGACCTCAAATATGGCTTATCCTCTGAAATGTGTAAGAATGAACATCTTTACATGGCCGCTCAATCTAATGTTAACCTAGAAAAATGTGCGCTGTTCAGGTGTCTGTGTTGAGTGTATAAGCACGCTCACTGCAGGACAGATGGAGGCGCCGGAGTGCTCACTTGCTCTTAAAATAGGCTACTCTGTCATTTTTGTTCATACAGATAAGAGTAATACATAAGACTCTACATTTATTTGTGTGCACTCACAATAACAACAAAACATTGCGCTTTTGTAAAATAATGGAAGCAAACAGGATGGGCTTTCTGCCGTCTCGGTCTCTGCGAACTTGAGCGCGAAACTCTGTGTATATCTTTGCCTTACAGACATTAAAAATATGTCTATAAAGAGTGAAATGTCTTTTCAAATGAACCAATTCAAATGGAAAACAAATATTCTCTGATTATGTAATCCGTATGAAACATGCGTACAGGCGCATCACTACTGCGGAGATGATGAGTCAGTGTCGCCGAGTTCATCTCTTGACTTAAACCGAAAACAAAGAAAGCACTAGTTTATCAAATTATTAAAATGTTAATGCCGTCTCCTTACTGTTTTCCCTGGCACATTCATAATCATTACTTCTGCTGGTGCGTTGTGGCAGGCTTTATGCATGTGCTTGAGCGCTTATTAGGCTATGTAAGGCAATTAAAGGCTCATTATAATGATTTAAATGGTTTATTAATAAACGTGCGATTAGTCGACTAATGCTTAAAATGAACGACTACTAGTCGACCAGAAAAATCCTTAGTCGAGGGCAGCCCTAGTGTCTATGTGTTGACTGGAATAACCAATCCACGCAATCCAGTTTCTTCTAGGCTGTGTATTATTCAGCTTCTAGTTAGTACACTGGCAAGGGAGGGAATTTCTAGAGCTGTCCAATGGTCAAAATGATTTGTTTGTTTCCTAGTAATTCCCAGAATGCACCTTAAACAGTAAACATCAACTATATCCACTAGCAGAAATGTTTTTCAGTCTTATTAGAGAAGAAATTGTTGAAGAAAGTCATTATTTGTATTTTCTTTGAGTAAAAAAAAAGGTTATCCTCATAGCTTCATAACATTATGGTTGAACCACTGATGTCACATGGACTATTTTAACGATGTACTTACAACCTTTCTGGGCCTTAAAAGTGTCAGTTGCGTTGCTGTCTATGCAGGGTCAGAAAGCTCTTGGATTTCATCAAAAATATCTTAATTTGTGTTCTGAAGATGAACGAAGGTCTTACGGGTTTGGAACAACATGAGGGTGAGCAATTAATGACAGAATTTTTTTCATTTTTGGGTGAACTATGCCTTTACTGTAAGTGTCTTGAGGACGAGTGCAAATGTAAATGTATGAAGACAAGGCCTCATTTTTCCAGTCTTTAAAAGGAATTTTATCTCTAGTTATCGCTCATCTCCAATGTGTACTGAAGGGGAAAAAATGTTGCAAACTTCATACAGAAATCACAAATTTTATTTTAACAGTTTTGATTAATGAAAACTTGCAAGACATGCATATTTTGTAATGGCACTGAAATTTTTAACAGTTAAAACAAAGATTCATGTTGCAGGTATATGAGTTGTCAGTGTCCCAATCTTCAGTAGATCAAGGCTTTTGCTAGTGTCCAAATTCATGACATAAGGTGCATGATTTCTGGAAAGTTCTATGAATATTTGCAGTCAAAATCTAGTTATTTCAATAGGAATCAATGCAATCAGGAATACGCTACTTTGCTGCTCGACCAACAGAAAGCTGCTTGGTTTAAAAGTATGAAGCTTTTCATTCATAAATACACCATTAAAAAAAACATACAATAAACCTGTTTCTCCTGCAAAAAAAAACAAAAAAAAAAAACGCTGACATTTCTCTAATGTGACCGCATCTATAGAAAAGTAGGGAGCACAATGAGACACATTCCTAATCAACACAAGCAGAAAACCTCCACAAATGCGATTCTAGATGACTGCGATTCCAATTATTACATTTCCGAGCTCACTGTCCACTTAATAAATATTACAGCTTTGACATGCTAGTCAGTTCAGGTCAGATGCATCATAAGTACAGATACGCTATGGACTCAAAGGGACCCAGAGACTTATTTAACATTACACAAACACTGCAGCCAGCGATGACCGCTTCACATTTCTGTTTCTCATACATAAAGGGTGTCATTCTGGGTTCAGCAGTGTGACAGAGCCACATTTGCACTTCAGAGCTGCGCAGCTGGCATATTTTCAATGTGTCTGCAGTGTCAAAACAAGTCACTACACTAATGGGGAGCTGATGAGATAAGAGCGATTTCAAGGTTTGAAGATAAAAAAGCAAGTGTGAGATGTTCCCAGCAGATGTTAGTCAGCGCACTATAGAATGAAAATAGAGCAGTGACCTTAAAAAGGTTAAAGAGATTGGCACATTATGTACATGTCTAAATAAAAAAATGACTGTATAGAAAACACTTTTAATTAACATAATTGAACATGCTGTTAACCTAAACCTACAGTGACATTCATATATACGCTATTTTTAAGACATGTAGGAACATTTTGAAAGAAAAAAAAAAACTCTAAAACTCTAAAACTTTAAATTCTATATAAAGGTGTAATCTATTTAAAACAGTTTACTGGCACCTGGACTTGCATCTGTTTATTTAATAATAAAAAAATAATATATATATATTTTTTAAATAATAAAAAAAAACTCCTAACCACCAGGGGGAGCCCTTACCAGACTCTAATGTGTGGTTTCACCATTTTTCCACTTCAGAGTAAAAAATACAACAGTTGATGGTGAGATAAAAATGAATAAATAAGAAATACATCTCACATTGTGAGATATAAAGTGACATTTACAAGACAATTATCAGAAAAATACAATTATCCGAAATAATGCAACAACTAAACTATGTCACTGACAGATATAAAGCTGTCTATCTTCATGGAGTTGTTTCTGACATTTTTTTATTTATGGTATATTACTGGATATGATATTGGATTTTTGACTCTTTTTTTCTTTTCTTTTTTTAACCTTTCATGACCCTGTTTGAGGATTGATCTTTGGGTTTGCTAACCTTACCTTCCAGTTTACCTTACTTTAAAAAGTTTAGAGTTGGTAATATTTATTTATTATGTCTTGAAAGTCTCAGGTTGGTAAGTTTTTTTTTTTGAAAGTTCACTTGATCAAAAAATATAGTACAACAACAGAAACATTGTGAAATATTATTACAATTTCAATTCAATTTTCAATTTTCAGAATCATTACTCCAGTCTTCAGTGTCACATGATCCTTCAGAAATCATTCTGATATGCTGATTTACTACTGTTGAAAACAGTTGTGGCTTAATATTTTTATGGAAACCGTGATACATTTTTCCTTTTCATAATTCTTTGATGAATGGAAAGTTCAAAAGAACAGCATTTATTTGAAATTTGATTGTAACATTATACATGTCTTTACTGTCACCTTTGATTAATTTAATGTGTCCTTGCTGAATAAAAGTATTAATTTCTTTAAATGAAATCTTACTGGCCCCAACCTTTTTGAGCAGTAGTGTGTGTGTGTGTGTGTATATAACACCAGTATATATCATGTTAAATGTTTTTATTTGTATTATTGTGATCACCATACTCACTGTGGTCTGGAGGCCTCGGCTTGATCCGTCTGGAGCTTCTCTCCTCCCTCCACCTCCATAGTGCAGTACACAATCCGATTAGGAGCAACCGATTTCAGCCCCTGCACCTCAATGATCACAATCTGAGTGATAGAAACAAGACCACATGATTAGACTTCACACGACCAAGAGCACCGATTTAGATTTCTTATTTTTGTGCTTTTTGGCAAGTAGCTGTTTATACAACCAGCTCACTAAAAATTTAATTTTGAAAATTCCTAGTTCAAACACTTTACTCATGTGGAATTAATGTTTTTATTGAACCATTCAAATGCTTTGTAGCTGTAATCATCACAACCATCACAACCAGCAAGGTGATGGTGAATTGTAAAGCAAAGATGGCGTCTTTGGCATCAAATATCTACCTCCAAAGAAAACGACAGCACTACGTCAGATTTGGAGAGAGGCATGTCGTTCTCATCGCCAATGTCCAGGAAGCTGTTCATGGGTGTGAGTTTGGCCTTGATTTTGGGCTTGAAGTCTTTGGCCACAGGTTGGCTCTCCAGGTTCGCCATCAGCAGGTTAACGGACGACCTGAGCTCCTCCATGTACATCATCTCCATGTCTTTGGAAATAAACGTTGGAAACTTCCTCTCCTATTGGACGCAGCAGGAAACAGGATGAACACTGTGACTTTAAGGCACCCGTACAGTTGATTCAACCTTACAATTAGTCAAAAATGTATTACATAAAAGATTAACAATTAATATTTGGGGGGAATTTTTTTTATTGTTGTTTATTTAATATTAATTTACATTATTTATAATTTACTCATGCAATATGACTGAATAATCAACAATACGCTAAAAATTATTTAGTTTTATTTATTTATTTAGTTTTTTAAATGTTTTATATTTTATATTATTTAATATTAACTCAATAATGGCTCTGAATAATTCACTGACTCAGTCCACAATGTGTTAAATAAATGGCATAACTAATAATATTTTGGGGAAAAAAATGAAATTTTTTATAACATATATTTTTATTCTTATTTATTAGTTTACTTGATTTTAAATTCAAAGTTTTTCAAATTTACTTAACAGCTCTGAAAGAGTCCACAATATGACTGGCTTAATACACAATATGCTAAAAATAGCCAAACCAATAAAATGTTTTGCTAAATAATTAGTATGTTTTTTTAACTAAATTTATTTATTTATTGAATTATTTACTTCATAATGGCTCTGGATGATTCACTGACTTAGTCCACAAAATGCTAAAAAAAAATAGCATAACTAATAATATAAGCTAAAAAAAAAGTAGACAAACCAATAATAAATGTAAATATATGTATGTATATATGTATATAAAATACACACATACATACATGGTGTACTCACTTCTGTGAGATACTGTATATATATATTTTTTTTTTTTGTGTGCAAAATATTGTAATGTTTTTTGTTGTTGCTGTTATTTTATATTATTTACACTGTAATGGATCTGAGTCTGATTCAGAACTGTTAGCTCACCAGCGAGTTCGAGACTTTTGCAAATCTTTTTGATGAACTCATCAAAAAGAACTGATTTGTAAGAGTAATTTGGCTGCAACTTGTATGTGAAGAAAACACTGATATGCACTCATTTGGTAACACACTTAGTCCACCTTTAAATCTGTAAGAAAAACAAACTTGTCTTATTTGATTCAATTTTTATCAGCAATTTGTAGGTATTTTTACCCTAAAGAGAGAAACAGCTGAAGTTTTCTTACTCTGGCTATTTTCTCGGCCAGCTGCAGTCGCCCGTCCAGCTCTCTGCGGATCTGCGCCGCCTGCTCGTCCACATTGTCCAGCTGCACGGAGAACAGAAGACAAAGCTTATTTATTTGACATGGCTTACTAAACCCATTACCCACCGGTAGATCTAGATAGATCAAAGCAGACCGCGGTGAAAAGACGGGCAAGATGGGCTTAATAACTACCCTGATTAGTCATGTAATCTCTTTTGAGCCTCGTGAAGCATCGGTGGTACTGGGACGGGCCATACCGAGGAGATATGAGATCATAAAAACGTTTAATGTCTATATCTGTTCACTGAGCGGCTCTGGCATGCCCTCAAATGAAGCGTTTTTGGAGTGTGAAACACTCACATACACAC